TCAAGGGGTACTCCACCAAAACCTGGAGTCATATGTCCTCATGGAGATGGTAAAAAATTACCCACCATTGCCATTGGTCACAAAAAAAACGATTCGCTTCTATTTCACTGTACCGCCCCGTTCCCGTTCCTCATTCGTGAAAAAATTGATTCCACCAGAGCGCCGCCCAAGTCTGCAGGCAGATCGCCGCCGCCGCCAACCCTAGAGCCGCCGCCGCCGAGATGGCCGGATCCGCCTCTGTCCAAGATGGATCCGGCCTAGAGGAGGAAGTCCCGGCCGCCGAGATGACCATGGGCGCCGGACTGGAGCATGGCCATGGGCGCGGCTTCCCTCCTCCCGCAACCGGCCAGGGGCGCGGCTGCCCGCCTCCTGCTGCCGGCCAGTGGCGTGGCCAGGGGCGCGGCTGCCCGCCTCCCGCTGCCGGAGCCGCCCTGCGCCCGCCTCCCGCTGCCGGAGCAGCCCTGGGGCGCGGCTGCCCGCCTCCCGCTATCGGAGCCGTCCTGGGGCACGGCAGCCCTGCCGCCGGAGCCGCCGTGGGGCGCAGCTGCTCACCCGCCGGCGCCGCACTGGGGCGCGGGTCCCAGCCGACCGGCGCTGCCCAGCAGCAAGCTCGTCCCCCGCGTACTGGAGCGACGAACCAGGTAATTACTTGTCTGATATTTGGATGACATCCAATGGTATAACCTCATGTGCTTCGTGTATGATATGAAGAAGCTAGCTAATTTGGGTTGTAGTCAAAACCATAAGCATATGGATGAAGTATTACCTTCTGTTATGTGATATATTTTTTATTTCAGAAAGCTAAAATCGTCCATTTATTTGCATCTTGAAAACTATAAAATCTCTAATTTGACTGGACAGGGGTGATTCAATGGAATGGACTGATGAGCATACTACCATTGTTTGTCGATTGTTTGCCCAACAAGTGGTGAAAGGAAATAGGCCAAATACCCATTTGAACTCCGTAGGCTATGACGAAGTGATCCAGTTGTTTCGCCAAATAACTGGAATTGAGTTGAGTAAGCGACAGCTCAGGAATAAGTGGGATAAGATGAAGCCTGATTTTGTGGCATGGCAAAAATTAATGAGGCAGCAAACTGGAACAGGATGGGATCACTCAAGAGGCGTGATTGTAATGGATGATGAGTGGTGGAGAAAGGCAAAAAAGGTGAATTAGCTTTATACCTGCCCCTTAATTATTAACTAGAATTAGCTTGCTTCTAACACATTGTTTCATGGTTGAAATTGAATAGGATATTCCTGGATGCGGCAAGTTTAGGAAGAAACCCTTGCAGAATGTAGATGACCTTAACATTATGTTTTCTGACATTATTAATGATGCATCCGATCATTGGAATCCTATGAGTGAGAACCCCATCATACCTGAGCACATGACTGAGGAGGTCCAGGAAGATAATCTTGTAGTTGATGATGAAGAGGTCCAAGAGACCCCCATGGAGGAAATGAATGACGAGGCCCAGGAGTGCCATGAGGTTTCTCCTTCCATTGGTATTGGAAAGAGAAGATCTCGGGCTGTTCTTGACAAAGGCAAGAAACCAAAGATAGGGACAGCACTTGTTATTCAAGAACAAATCACCAAGATTGCTGAGTCAGCCTCCTCTTTCACATCAAAAAAGTCAAATGAAGTAACCGTGCAACAAATCATGGATCTAGTTTTGGATTGTGGGGCAGATTATGGTAGTGATGAGCATTTTATTGCTACAGAGTTATTTGTCAAAAAGGACCAAAGGGACATGTTTATGACCCTACCAAATAAAGAGTTTAGGTTTAATTGGCTTAGGAGAAAGTACAATGCCAAGTATGGAGCATGATCCATACTTGCTGTTATGCAGGCCTTCTTGTTATTTCATAATTTCTCCCATTTGAAATATTTGTAATGGATTTGGTGTAATAATAGTACTGTTAGACTCATGCTTGTTTGTCTGATTGAATGGATTTGGATGAAGGCTAGGAAAAGAAATGGCATCTACAGATTGATGTCACTTGGATGAAGTTTTTTTTTCTGTGATTGTGTTAAGTTAATTAGTATAATTTAACAAGTGCTGTGATGGCGTCTACAGATATAATATATGTTAAGTTTATTTTTTATACTATTTGTAACAAGTGCTGTGATCTAACAAGTGTTGTTCTCTTTTTTTTTGCCTGCAGGTGACTGACGGTGAAAGTGAGAGTGAGTCAGGGGACTCTACTGATGGTGACCAGTTCTGGAAACTTGTTTTAGGTGGTGCCCAAATAGCTCAAGTTTATGCTGATATATACCTTCACAAAAATCCACCAAGGACATCAATTCTTAGTGGCATGGGATGGTTGCTAGAGACATTGCGGACTCCTGGTGAATGTCATTCACAGCTTCGTATGAACACAGATCTTTTTTTGGACCTAAATGATTTGTTGGTGCAAAGGTATGGACTCGAACCATCCCTGCATATGAGTACTCATGAGATGCTTGCAATGTTTCTGTTTACATGTGGTGGAAATGAGTCCAATAGGAGAGCTCAAAATAGGTTCAAACATTCTGGTGAAACCATTAGTAGAAAATTTGATGAGGTTTTAAATTCTTTGATGGCCATGGCAAAAGATTACATTCGACCAAAAGATCCCAATTTTCGTTCGGTTCATAAGAGGATAAGAGATGATAGAAGAGCTTTTCCCCATTTCAAAGGTTGTATTGGTGCTCTTGATGGAACTCATATCCGTGTGTCATTGTCACCTGATGAGCAAGTTAGATATATTGGAAAAACTGGAATTCCCACTCAAAATGTGCTTGCCGTTTGTGACTTTGACATGCGTTTTACTTATGTTGCAACGGGTCAACCGGGAGCTATGCATGACACAAGTGTTTTATACAATGCATTAAGAGTGGATGAAAAATTCTTCCCTCATCCTCCACAAGGTACCACACTTGTATTATGCTCTCTATTTGTGCTGACTGTGCATGTGTTACTAAAATGTATCAATAATCATACTATGCTATCTTTTGTAGGCAAATACTATGTTGTTGACGCAGGACATCCTAATCGTCCCGGTTATCTTGCTCCATACAAGGGTGAGAGATACCATTTACCAGAGTGGCACAGAGGTATGGAACCCAATACTCCAATGGAAAAATTCAATCGTGTGCACTCTTCCATCCGCAATGTTATTGAGCGATCATTTGGATTACTAAAAATGAAGTGGCAAATTCTGTACAAGATGCCGTGCTACCCCATATACAAGCAAAAAATGATCGTTGTGGCTGCTATGGTCCTTCATAATTACATTCGTGAGCATGGAGGTGAGGATCCTGATTTTGCTAGGTTTGATCGTGACCCTAATTTTATTCCAACAATACCAGAACGGTACAACAAATACGCAGTTCCTCGAACGGCATCTGATGAGTCAACTCCCGAAAGAAGTGCAGGAACTATGGATCTCTTCCGTGATGAACTAGCCACCGCTTTATCAATTTCTTGGCGCTAGATTTGTAAGACATAAGATGATAATGTATCTTTGTTGGACTTCAATTATGAACCTTTGATTAAAATGTGGTACCTTGTGCGGATTTTGCTATGTGCGGATTTTGCTCCCAACTCGTTTCTCAATTGTGGCAGATTTGCATGTGTTCCATTAAGATGTAAAATAAATATTACGATAAAAAATTAGCTACTCGGAGGTGCAATTCCCTACTACAGTAGCAGCATTGCCATGCGTGTTGCTTTGCACTATGACTGTGCGCTCTCCAGTCTACTGTGTAGCTCGATCGTGGCCATTTTGGCGTTTTGCTGCAACATTACCTCTCGCAGCAGGATTGAAATAGGTGCTTGCATCGTCTTGAAAAAAGTCTATTTTATAATTTTTTTTATTTTTTATTATAAAAAAATTAGCTATTCGAGCTAATTTTGTACCGTTCTTGAAATAGCTACTTGCATCGTCTTGCAACAAGTCTATTTTGTAATATATTTTATTTTTTATTATTGTTATGGCTGTGAGAAATATTAAACATCACTATATATTAGTAATCAACATCCATACAAGATCCATGGGCAAAACAGTCCTTTCACTCCTCCTCCTACCAAATCTGGAGCTGGACCATATGTATTATTACCCAAACAGGTGCTAGCTCCAGGAGCTCCACGGTGGAGAAGATTTCCTGGAGAGGAGCTCATTTTTTTGTAGAGTCAGTTTGGTAGACTTGTAGTGCCGCCATCGCTGCTGCCGGCGAATAGCTGGAGCTCGTCTTTCGCTACGCGCTGCCACCGCCGCCGTCTTGAGCTTCATATGGAAGCTTTGCCATTCCATCTTCCTACTAGGACTGGATGTATCAATCGGTAGTGATGCAGCATGCTTGCTGCCCGGAATTTGGATTTTGGAACATTATTACAATGAGCAGAGCAGAGCATGCATTCGATTCAACTAGTCAGCAAGTAAAGCATGCATTCCATCAGACAATTCATAGGTTTCAAACAACACCATTCATTACTAACTACAACAGAGAATAAGCCACATCGTAAATCAAAAGAGATAGAGAATAGAATAAGCCACATCGTAAATCAAAAGAGATAGAGAATAGAGATCGTAAATCAAAAGGGATTGAAAAGAACAAAAGCAACGCACTAGAAACTACAATCTCCATAGCTAAAATATGTCTTCAGTACCATCAACAGTTGAACAAATGAAGAACAACAAAAAATGAAGAACTAAAATATGTCTTTGGTACTTTGGCCCCGAAAAATGAAGAACAACAAAGAAAAAGTTGGGCCCAGGCGATGGCTGGTGACGGCGCACGCTTACAAGCAGACGAGCTCCGAGCTAGCTAGTCACCGCCATCGTCGGCATCGACAGTGGCGGCGGCGGCAGCAGCGACGAGAGGCCTCATCGGATTAACTCATCAGTGTGTCTTGTCGGGCTGCCATGGACTGATTTCAATAGCAGTTAAGTATGCATGACACGTGAGCCGTTGGATTGCATGGACGGTGGATAAGTGATGACTGCACGACCGTGCCTTCACAGGGTGAAGGAAAGCAGATCCAAATCCGATCGGTAGGAAAAATAAAATCTTCCTTCTCGAAATCGCCGGCCGCACCGTCTCCTCTCTCCCCGGCCGTCGCTGCGCCTCCTCTCTCGCTGGCGCGCCACGCCGCCCCAGCTCCGGTCGTCGTCCTCCTGGCCCCTCCGCGTCCGCGTCCCCAAGCGAGCGCTCGAGCTTTGCTTTCAAGCTCTCGCTGAGCTCCGGAGGGTAGAGATGTCGTCCTCCTCCGCCGCCGCCTTAGCCAGAGGCAAATCCGGAATCTCTGCCGCTAAATTCGAAGTACGAATTCTCCCCCAACCCCTCTCCCTAACACACATGGAGTACACTTGAATTTAGCTGCGGCCAGATCCAGACGGCTGGCTACCTCTCCAAAATCTAAATCGAAATCGATCTTGATGCGCAGGCGTCTAAGGGATTGGGCGCCAAGCCGAAGCGATCCGCCTCCGCCACCGGCAGCAGAGGGAAGACCGAGAAGAAGGTCTACTCGCTGCCAGGCCAGAAATTCGACCCCCCTGAGGAGGTCAGCTTATTTCCACTCAACCAAATCTCATCTCATCTCATCTGTGTTGTTGCCTGATGCCATTAATTTCGTCCAGAGAGAGCCTCTCAGGATATTCTACGAGTCCTTATCCAAGCAGATACCCTCCAGTGAGATGGCTGAATTCTGGTACGCACAAATTTTTACACCTTTTAGCGTAATATATAAATTTTCTTCTATCTCAACTGTTAGAAATACTCCTACCCCTATATGGAATATATATACAGTAGTAGTACATACTAGTGACATTCAGGTGTCTGTCTAACTAGTGGAGTACTAGCTATCTAGTAGGATTCTGACAGTAAATTCTTCTAAGAATACTTGTAGCTTCAACGCATGAAGCTTACTGCTATCAACTGACTAATATCGCCTACTCAAAGCAGACACTAGTACTAAATTTGGTTGCCTCATGTTAGCACAAGTTCACACATCATTCTAATGAAGGGCATGAAACCATTCATATAAATAAGTTCTCTCACTTACCAATGATAAATCCTAGGTTTGTCTTACAAACTGCAGTGATCAATTATATTACCCTAGTACCTCATCCACGAAAATGTACAACAGGTTGATGGAACACGGGTTGTTATCTCCCGAAAGAGCAAAGAAAGCATACGAAAAAAAGCAAAAGCGGCAACAGCAAATACGATCAGGAACACCAATTAAACCCAGCGTAAAGAAAGACAAACCGGAAAGTTCAAAAAAACCAAGCTCATATAATAGTTCAGATTCAAAGGCAAAAAAAAGAGTCGATTACAGCGATGACGATGACGATTTCATTGTAAAACTGAAGAGATCCAGGGGATGATAGTTTTCAGATACCAGCATATTCCTATAGCACCAAGGCTAATAAACAGGTGCTGCTCTGAGGTTTCCATGGCAATGGTAACAACCAAATGGGTTCATGATGATTCTGGTGGAACAACATTTCTGTTTATTGTCAATATTGGAGTAGAAAGAAAAATGGAGATCCTTTACAATGATAAAATAAAGTCATATTGGCAGCATTGTGTCTTATGTAAAGACAGGCACTTTGTGGAGCTAAAGATAAATAGGTTTCCCTTTGCTTTGCTGGTGTCGTTGTATTCTGCAATTTGTACCTGCACGGTACCGTACCTTACCTTTGGTAGATAAGATTTGGTTTGTTGCATTGCTGTTACTCTTGCATTGGGAATGGACATTGTTATGCTGAAGTTGCCTAGAAAGAAAAGATTAGATTTGTTGTGTTACTTACAGTACTAGAGCTACGGCTAGAGCATGTTGGATGTGGGACTCTGCACTGCAGCTTAATATGGAAATTGATTAGAATTACAAAGCAATAGAGGCAAATGAGAAAAATGGTATTGTCAAAGGGGGGGACTGGTTTCTTGCTGTTACGTTGATTGAATATTATATTATAGGGACAATTGCATCCATGCCCCCACTTTCAAACCCAATTGTTGTTTTACCCTCACTTTTTAGGGTTTGCAGTTTTACCCCCACCTTTTGAATCTGAATCAGCCGTCTGCCCCCCACTTGTAATAGTTGATTTTAACAGTGTTAGAGGTAGAGAAAAGGACATTTATACCCTTGGCGGTTATTGCATTTTTGCCCCCATTTTTTCAGCTGTGTTATTTTGCCCCTATTTTGTGATTTCAGCTTGTGTGATTGTTATAAATAATTCAAATATGAGCATCTCTTGTGATGTTTTTGTACTTTTAACAAAAAAAAATCACAAATACTAGGGAAATTACAAAATTTGACCAAAATTTGAACAAAATTTTGACAGAATTTCAACACAACTAGTACAAGTCACATATAACAAAGTGTCCACAAACATAACTACAAAGTGTGTCCACGGCAGTGGTAGGGGACGGAAAAAAAATGAGGTATGGCTCATAGACACATACATCAGAGACTAGAAGGTAGATGAGAACAGTATCAATCGCACTACGGCACGACATTGTATCAACATTCAGCATGGCAATAATCACTGATCACAATCCGTTATCCATTTGCAAACAAGCCTAAATAGAAGAATAGGCATTGAAAAATACCTCAAGTAATGAAGTTTCAGTAATAAATCACATATAGGAATCAGGGAGGATAGATATACATAGAATCTGAAAAAAGGAGAGCAAGGATTGATTAGGGACTAGGGTGGATTGAATCGGGAGGAAGGCCACTTGCTTCTGAGGCGGTTTCACGAGTTTCAGCTGATCAAATATCTCAAGCAACCCATGCATCATTCCAACAACAACGCCTCCTGTCACAGGGATCAGCAGTATTCTGTGCCAAGTATCAGCTAGCCTCTGAAGGCAGAGCCAAGCTGCACCTTCGTTGGGGGTACCTGCCCAAACCCATTCATGGATGATATGAACCTAAAAATTCCATAACAGGAGCTATCTATAGAATCAGTCATGCAAGGCAGAACTGAAAAATCTCAACCTTAACTTACATTGGAATCACTAGGAAGGTTTTAAATTTTAACAAAATTTATCGTGTTTTGGGCAACCGCAGATACCGTGTGACATAAGGCTTTTCATTTACTGCTTTCAGTGCACTGTTAAGTTGCTTTGAGTTTGCACAATTAAATGAAACTGATTTTGCATCATTTGGGTGAATTTATTTGCACTAGTTTAGTCTGCACACTTCCGTCAAAAAAAGTTTAGTCTGCACACATAAACGGATCAAAATCACATATGCGAAGTCCCTTGAATTCACATTTGCTAGCATCCATTAACTATGTTTAGATCCTATAAATGATACTCCCTCCGCTTCACAATGTAAGTCATTCTAGTATTTTTCACATTCATATTGGTGCTAATGAATCTAGACATATATATCTATCTAGATTCATTAGCACCAATATGAATATGAGAAATGCTAGAATGACTTACATTGTGAAACGGAGGAAGTAATGAAACATCAAAACCCACTTAAATTGCAGAGGATAGTCAAGTTTCCAGTCTCTGAGCATAACCATTGAAATGCTCACCCCACGGTTAAACGCGGCGACGCAAATGCCGGTGGCGAGCCCAAGGAGGCAGCCGATGAGCAGCAGTGCCCACTCCGGCGGCGCCCAATCCCCGAGCTCCTCCCCGACCCTCTCCCTCTGCTGCGGCGACGATGTCGGGGACGGCTCGGAGCGATTGAGCTGCTGCGGCGGCTGCTGGCTTCGACGCCCGGATCCGCGCGCGGAGAGGGGGAGGTCGAGGTGCTGTAGGAGGCCGCGCACGCCGCCGCTGCTCCGCCTCGGGGAGGCGGTGACGGTGGCCCCCCGCGCGCGCGCGCCCACCCTCGCCGCAGCCGCTGTCGCCCTTGCAGCGGCGGCCGCCGCCTCGCGCACGCCCTCCCCGTCGCCGCCGCGCCACGCTCTCGCCGCTATGGTTTCGCACGCACGCAGGGACCGACGCACGAGGTGGAGGGGACAGATTCAACCCTATCCTGTCCATTCCCTCAGGGGTACAATGGTAATTTCATATTTTCTCAAACCTTTGTTTTATTTTCTTTTGTATTTCTTTAACACAAAATGTGGGACCCGCCAGACAGCTGTTACAAGTGGGGGTAGACAGCCGGTTCAGATTCAAAAGGTGGGGATAAAACTGCAAACAAAACAGCAATTGACTTTGAAAGTGGAGGGCATGGATGCAATTGTCCCTATATTATATAGAAGGACAAGCAAATGTATATATAGACTTCTGTAGTAGTAGTAGTAGAGCAGAGTACATGTATATATATGATTAATTATATATTACATATATAAGTAATAGTATTACATGCGATGCGAGCTTAATAATGGAGTGAGTACGCACATGATAGATACGTACGTACGCTACAGATATATATATATATATGCGGAAGATGAGTAATTAATAGGAGAGGGATGAGCCGCTGCAGCAGATGAATTGAAGATGCGTGCGTGCGAGCGAGGTTGTCAGGCGGCCGGATAAGGAGGAGGAGAAGAGGAAGAGGAGGAGGAGGAAGAAGAGGCCTTCTTGTGGTGCCTGTTGAGCTGCTGATGGTTGATGCATTTGTCCTTCCTGAACCTGAGCACAGTGCTCATGTGGTCGATCTCCCAGATGTGCTCCTGCATGAGCACGTTGCCGATGATGGAGGGGCCTTGCGAAATCCGGTTGAAGCCGAGGCAGACAACCCCCGGGACGACCTCCGGAACGACGATGCTCTTTGCGTCGGCGGCCAGCCTCGCATCCCCGGCCATCTCGATGCTGAAACTGGGTATCGTCACGTTGTGAGCCGGGTCCACCCCGTCACCGGCGAAGGTCCAGTTGTAGCAGTACTCGAAGCCCTTGATTTCGGCCTTAGGCAGGTGCGCCAGGTGGCTGTCCAGCGCCGCCGTCACCGGGTCGTACACCGCCGACACGAGGTAGGTTATGGAGGTGCCGGTGTCGAGGATGATGCCGGCTTCTGGGTTGTCGTTCCCCAGGGGGCCCTCGTCCCACACCTCGGGCGGGATGTCCAGTGGTTGACCGCCGACGAGGATGCCGGTGACATGGGCGCCGTACGCGACGTCCCTGTACAGGAGCGGCGTCTCCATGGTGCCGGGAGCCTGGACGGCCGGGTTGGCGCCGAAGGTGAGGTAGCTGGAGGCGTTGCGGCCGCTGGTGGTGGCGAGGAGGCAGAAGGAGAGGCGGCCACCGAAGCGCCTGGCGGCAGCGATGCCGAAGGACGACGGGCTGTTGCCGAGGGAGAGGATGCCGTCGTGGCTGTTGACGGCTCCGCCGTGCTCGAAGGTGGAGCAGCCGATGACGAGGCCAGGTAGCTTCTTCATGGTGCCGTCGGAGACGGCGACGGTGGCCTTCTCCTGGCCGTAGATGCCGCTGGTGATGGTCGAGTCCTTCATCACCTGGTAGTAGGTGCAGGAGGTGTTCTGGTCGGGGCTCTCGCAGGTGTTGTAGGGGAGGTCCATGCAGGCGCGCTGGGAGCAGCGGAAGCGGCGCCACGAGGAGGACTTGGCAGGGCGGTACCAGTTCATGATCACCTTGGTCACCTTGGACTTGCCGCCGGACCCTCCTCCGCCTCCGTCGTCGTCGACTTGGATGGACATGGTGGTGGCGGCGGGGGGCACGTGGGGCCGCCCAGGGTGCTTGCCCTTGCGCCGGCGCAGGCGGCAGTTGATCCAGGTGACTTCGTTGGCCGTCTCCAGGGCGAGGCTGTAGGGGAGCGCCGGGGTGCCGATGCGGACAACCACCACGTACATGCCCACCTGCGCGATGTTGAGCGCGCTTCGCATCGGCAGCTCGAACATGTCCGTCTTGGACATGAGCTCCGGCACCTGCCGCATCATCCGCCTCATGTCCTTGGCCATCAACGCCCGGAAGTGCTCGCGCCGCTCCTCCCCCGACTCCGGAACGTGGGGCGCCCACACCGGAAGGGTGAAGCTGCTGCTGCCTCCCTCCTGGTCCTGGACCTCCTCCTCTTCCTCCTCCTCCTCGTGCTGGAGGCGCCCATGGATCCCTGCCACCAACAGCAGCAGGCTTAGGAGGAGGACCACCACCAAGGGACCGGGACCGGCCGGCATCATCGATCCTTCGCTTCCTTCCTTCCTTTCCTCTTCTTCTTTGTTTAATTTGCCAATTAGCTAGCTACCCTCATCCATCCATCCATCCATCCATTCTACTACTCCATCCTCCTGCGCGTGCATGCTTTGTTTCTTCCGCACAATTAAGATGATTCTATGTTAAGCCCTGTGGCCATGAGCTCTTTCAGGAACACCCACCACTCCTGAATTACTATTTTACTATATATATTCCCCCTTATTTTCCTTCTACATACATACTTACATACAAGAGAAGCGATCTTCATCTGCATGCATGGCATTGCCTCTCCTCTTCAGTCTTGCGGCCTTGCCAGCTTATATATATATGGGCCTTTTAATTACATGGGCCACCACCGTAATCGGAATTGGAACAAGAACTGAAAAGATAAGGAGTAAGTTCACTATAAATCCCTCAATTCACTAGGCCCATCCCCCGGCGGTATAGTAGCTGGTTTTGGTTGACGGGATGAGTGGGATCCACATGTCAACCGCCAACCCTTCTTCCTCATCTATTTCTCTCCCGGACTCCTCCTCTCCCCTCTCATTCCCCATCTCTCGCTCCAAGTCGGGAGGGGGGAGGCGTGCGACGGAGAGAAAGGCGGTGGTCGACGGGGAGAGGGGTGACGGTCACGGAGGAGCTCATCGGCGAGCTGTGGCATTTCCCTCTCCTTCTCCAACTATTTCGACATCATGCTGGTGGTGCTATCGTGATGTGTGAAGCAATGCGGCCCGCTGTTCAACCCGCTCATGCTGATGCTGGTGGTGGTGGCCCGTGCTGGGCTCCCTCCTCAACGAGAAGATGCATCTTGGAAATCTACTCAACGGCGTGCTCATCGTCGTCGGCCTCTACTCTGTGCTCTGTAGCAAGCAGTACGAGCAGGGGACTATGGGTCAAGACGAGTTGTGCGACCGCTTAGGGCCTAGGTCAGCAGGGGGCCATCATCACCACACCTGCCCAATGCAGGTCACCCAATATTGCTGCTGGGCACCGAGGCAGGTCACCCAATACCGCTACTATTCTCGGTGCCTTGAGGGAAGAATGAGGGAGGCAGGGAGACGCGGTCGTGTGGCTGTCGCCGATCTCAATGAGTCGATCGAGGCCTCGAGGACATGACGCAATGCGTTGTTTCATGTTCTCACTTCTAATCTCACCTCTTCCTCGTGTCGCCATTTTATCTCACGCATCACTGTAGCGCCCGTTCCGTCGTGGCGCCTAGCGGGAAAATTATCTCTTAAAAACCCTAATTGCGAAATTTGTTTCCTTGCTTGTTGTCTAGTGTCCATGCCATCTCAAGATCTCAATCCCCGATCTATCGTCAAGTTCAATTCTGAATCCAATTCCTTCCAAATCAAATTTCTCCGCAAAAGTCTATTTGGCCTCCCCCGAGGTCGATGGGCCGAATCTCGCTCGGCCCATCTCCCCCTCCTCTCCCTCGCTCTCCGTCTCCCCATCCCTCGCTGCCGCTCCCCGCGCTCGTTCGCGCGCGCACCCGCATGGATGCCGCCCGGTCCCGCTGCCCTGCCGCCTGCAGCCGAGCAGCCGCCCGGTCCCGCTAGCCAGCGCGCGCGCCCGAGCCACGCCGCTCAAAACCACCGCGCCTCCCGTTGTTTCCCGCGCGCGCGTGCCGAGTGGCCGACCGCCCGGTCGCCGCCGCCGTCACCCTCTGCCGCGCCAGCCCGCGCCTGTCGCCCGTGTCGTCGCGCCGCTCCAAACCGCCCCGCTGTCATCGCCGTCGTCATCGCCCGGCCCCGCCACTCCGCGCGCAAGCCGCCAAGGGACGGAGGCAGCGCCCCTCCTCTCTCTGCCGCGTCGCCCCCGCTCCCCTCCTCCTTTTTCCCAAATCGGCAAAGGGGCAAGCCCCTTTCTCCCCCTCCTTTCTCCCCTTTTCCTCCCGCCGGCGTCATTCCCCTCTCCCTCCTGTCGCCGTTTTGGCCGCTAGCCGGAGCGCCAGCTCGCGCCTTGACCGCCAAAGTCGGTTTCCAAACCGACATTGCCGCCCCCTATAAACCCCGGCGCCCTCCTTTCCTCTCCCATTCACCTCCGCGCCATTGCCGCCCCTCTGTTCGCCATCGCCGTTCGTCGTTGCGCGTGTCGGAGGAGCCAGCATGAGCAAGGACGCGGAAGGGGACTTCGGCCGCGCCCTCTCCTTCCTCTTCCCCGGCCTGAGGCCGGAGAGATTACTCCCGCGCCGTCGGCCTCTCGTCACTGCGCCCCGCCCGCACGGTAGTGCAACCCTCCGTTCTTCCTCCTCGCTCCATCTTCCCCCCTTAGATTTTGGTAGTAGCCCGAGTAGCCTCCCCGTAGTTAGCCGGCGCCGCCCCGACCGTTGCCGTCGCTCGCCGTGTGCTCGCCACCGTCGCCGCTCGAGCGCCGTAGCACCCGCACGTCGCCAGCCTCGCTTGGCGTAGCTCCGTCCAATCCGACGCTAGCATCGAGTTCCCGAAGCCGCGTAGATGCTCTCACCGCTGGGAATCGACCTCTCGTGGCCTCGTCGCCGTTTCCCTCTTCTCCCGCCGCCGGTTGCCGCCGCCGCAATCCGCCGCCGTCGAGCAACCCCCGGCAAATCCGAGCCGTTGGCTCGTCTCCCCTTGTCCTGTACAACCGCCCGGTGTGCTCGCTTTTGCCCGTATCACCGTGGTTCGCTCCGCCGCTCGCCGCCGCCGCCCGCCGTCCATTCGCGGCCGGGTCATCGTCTACCTCCCGCCAGCCCACGTGGCAGCCACGTAGGCGCCACGTCGGCGCCAGCTCAGCCTAGACCGGGTCGAGCCGACCCCGGTCAGTCCCTCCCGTGCGCGCGTTCCACCGCAAGCCATGAGGCTGCGCGTGGGCCCGCCTCATCCTTTCCACCGTGAACCGTGCGCGTGCACCGCGTCCCTTTCCGCCCGCGCGCGTGCGCCGCGTGCTCCCTCCGCACGGTGAGCCGAGCCGCTGACAAGCGGGTCCCACCCGGGACCGCGCGTGGTGAGCCCGGTCCACCGGCCCTCTCCCTCTCCTCCCCTCTCGCGCGCGCGCTTGGGCCGCCTTGGGCCGGCCGGCCCGTTAAGCTAGGCCGAGCCGCCCCAAATCTCTTGGGCCGCACCCTAGCCGCCCGAGAAAAGTCTAATTTCCATCCCTCTTTTCTTTCTTTTCTTTTCTTTTTCAAAAAGGATTTAATTAAATCCTTTTCCTTTAGACCAAAAATTCAATAATCTTAGAAATTCAATATCTTCCCAACCGTAAATCCGTTTGACTCCGTTCGACTTCCAAAATTCCCCAAATCTCGAGATCTATCTAATGGCACGCTTAGAGGTCATTAATAGGGCTTTATTTTCGCCGTTTGTTGAGTTGTCCCGTTTCGCGTGTAGTTCCGGAGCCCGAAGACCCGCAGTGCGAGGATTTCGAGGATCAAGCTCCAGATCTCGAGCAAGGCAAGCCACCTTTGAACATCTTGAGCCTATATTTGAAATTTAATTATGTTACTTGCAAAATATTATGCATTGATAGGATCACACTTAATCTGTTGTCCCGTCTGCGAGGCAGATTGGCGGACTTACCTAATTTGTCGCATTTGATCCTTCCATTGTTAATTGCTATACCATGTCCCCTTGTAACCACCCAGTTGCGCCTCGATACTCGTGCACTCTGTGCGAGTATCGACGGTCGCCTTCAAACTTAAAATCTGAGTAACAACTTGGGTAAAACTGGAGTTTTACAAAAGACTTGGAAAACCCAACACTTGGGTCGGTGCTTGCGAACTAAATGAATTTCCAAAACCGCGGACCGGGAAACGTACCGGGTGTACAGTTTCCCGCTCTTGCACTTAAGGACCGTTTCCTTGGAATTTCATCCGAACATAAGACAAGTACGACCACATGGGTGGAATGGGACACCCCTGGCTGAGTAACTAGCTTATCAGGGGAGCCTTGATGCTGAGAGACATGTGGATTCGCCGGGGTGGTGTCGGGGAGGACCCCTGGGCTTCCTGGCACAGTATGGTCTGGGACCTAACCTGTTGTTGGTCTGGGACCCCTCTCGTCGGCATATGGTAAACCTGTGTCGGCTTTCGAAATGCCTTGTCATGAAAGCTTGGAGGTCTCCCGACGTGGCTGATCCCCACGGGCTGGGTGACCCGGGTTAGTAATGTCGTGTGGGTAAAGTGTACCCCCTCTGCAGAGGTCATTAAACTGTTCGAACAGCCGTGCCCACGGTCATGGGCGGATGTGAGGTGATTCCTAGCGTAGTTTTGTTTGACTACTGCTTGTGAAATTGCTGTTGTGAAACTGGGTTCGATGTTTGGAAAATCAGCAGCTGACGGGATCAGCTAGGCCCGGGTGGCCGTTTGAAAAGTTGTTGGCCCGGGTGGCCGTTTGAAAAGCTGTTGGCCGGGTGCCAACCCTGTTTCAAGATCTAAAGACTGATACATTGCACATACTCCGACCGGACGAGACGCACTGTCTCATCCGTGTCGTTTGAGAAGCACTCACTTAGTTGTTTTTAGAAAAGAGTTTAAATAAAATAAATTGCGAAAACAACAGCCTTTCCTTGAAGCCTGCATTAAACACTTATTTCCCCTGGCTTGCTGAGTACTCCCGTACTCACCCTTGCTCTATATAAATATCCCCCCTCAGTTGCTGAAGAAGATAAAGCGGATCCTGCTGATGAGGAGTTCTTCCAGGAGCAAGCCGGCTACGATGAGTTTTAGGGTTTCGGCCTAGTTCCCAAGTCGCGCCTGTGATGATTGGTCCAAGTCCTGGCTTCCGCTTTCCTTTTGTAATGCAGTTGTGAGCTCGGGATCTGTCCGCAGCCCAACATGACTGTACTTCTACTCTATAATAAAGAGACCTCTGTTGCTGTGATATTCTGTCTCCCTGTGATACCAGCACTGCTTCCTGGGACTGGTATCGATTAACAGGTTAAATTGGAGCGTCACGGGCCAGTTCCGGTCGGGACTAGTTCGGGGCGTGACAATCACGCTAACTTGCTGACTCGCCACCAGGAAAGAAGGAAGATGGCCGACGTAGCGAACCGGCTGGCGACGTCGTCGCCCACGCGCCATGCAGCCACGCCTTGCCCTTGTGGCCTTGCCTTACCTTCACGAGGCATCTGATTAGCAGAAAAGACTAGGGCAAGGTGAGGTCTTCTGATCTTATTTGCATCTATGTAGTTCGAAAATTAGGTTATAGTTTTGTTTTGCTCTTTTTGTTTAATGAATTTAGTTTATGATTTCAGGTGTTAGAAATTAGAATATTGCCTCAGAAGCATCTTTCAGGCCTCACCTTCTGGTATACACCAAGTAGCCAGCGTGCGGGTCTTGCCTTCTCGTTGGCTCCCTAGCGTAACCCCTGCAAGCCGCTTACCACATCGAATCCGTAGTTCCCGGTCTCTACAATATCGCCCTATGCCTCCGCGCTGCCCTACTCCTTGGGGGTGGGAGGAGGATGAAGATTAGGGTACTAACTTGTGGGGTTTACGAGGGTTCCACGCTTACTCTACTGATTTGATTTTATTATACTAAACTTGTCACATCAGTAAAACCTGGACATAATACCGTCTTAAGACCTCGGGTGCTCTGGTTTTACAAGTTAAGAGACATGTTATGTCTGGTATTACGGGCTTGTTTGGCACAGCCAAATAGTTTCAGCTCCACCTAAAGTGGGAGTGGAGTTGGGTGGAGCTCTCTCACAAAATGAACTAGAGAGGTGGAGCTGGGTTTAGGCAGCTCCACAACTCCACTCCAAACCCAACTCCTGAAGCTAAATTTAAGAGTTGGAGCTCTACTAAACATGCCCTACAATTAAAAAATGTGATTAAAACTTGACATATCTAAAGTGAACTCATTCGGAAAGACAACAACAAACACTCATTCTGCAGTGCAGCTAGGAGGAATGTGGCATCACCATCAGCTTCTGCATTGGAGTGGATTTTCATCCCTGGAGGGGATATCCTCTCGTTATTTGCGTATCACTCAAATGGTTATGAAAAAATTTTAAAAAAAAAGAGAGAAGATGTATTAACATGTATATCACTTCACAAACATGCAAGTTCAAATTCAACTTCTATATCTCGCAACGAAAAAAACAAATTAAACTACAACTAGTTAACAGTTAACGTATATCCACAATCAAGTTTGTTTTTTTCGTTACGAAATATAGAAGCTGAATTTGAACTTACATATTTGTAGAGCGATATATCACATCTTAATACATCTTCTCAAATTTTTTAATTTTTTTTCATAATCATTTAAGTGACATGCATACAACGAGGGAATATCCCCTCCAGGGATGAAAATAGTTTCCGGCTTCTGCATACCTTGTGATGTCCCTCTCTTGTCTAGTACTGGCATGAATCGGCACGCAGCACTGCTGTGGCTGCTGCTGCTTCATGTCATAGTAACAGTACATTCTCATGCACCGGTGACCGATGCACTGACTGGTCGTCCGCCACGCCCAACAAGAACAACTACTAGGCTAGTACTGGAGGACTATCTTTTTTCCGAGAAAATTACTCTCCATCCCTTCTTATGGAGTAGGAGTATTAAACAAACAGAAGAAAGGATAATGATACTCTGTTTGGGAGTCCTTTCCCTCCCTTTGATGCAGCAGCAGCGTTTTTGATTGCGCATTTGCATGGCGCGCGGCCAGCCCAACATCGCAACGCATCAAAGTAGGGACGATATATATATATATACTCCGACGATCGATCCCTTGCCTTGCTCACGTACCGAGCTGCTTCAAGAAAAAAAAATCAATGGCGTCTCAGAAGAAAGCAAGGACTTGAAGAAGAGCTCATAGTATGGCTCTGCGGCCTCAGCTTGTGCCTCCGCTGCTCTCCCACCGCCGCCGCCTTGTCATACCTCTGCTTGTCTTGCTCCTCGCCGCCGCCGCCAGCGACGAGCAGCTGCTAAGCCTGCGTGGGCAGGCTGCTGTCCTTGTGTCCATCAAAGACGCCTTCTCCCCGCCTCTCCCGACGCCATTGCGCACTACCTGGAGCATCGCCAACGACGCCTCTCTCTGCTCCTCGTGGCATGCCGTCCGCTGCGCCCCCGACAACCGCACCGTCGTCTCCCTCGACCTCTCCGCCCACAACCTCTCCGGCGAGCTCTCCTCTGCCATCGCCCACCTCCAGGGCCTCCGCTTCCTCTCCCTCGCCGCCAACTCCCTGGCCGGCGACCTACCGCCCACCATCGCCGCCCTCCGGCACCTGCGCTACCTCAACCTCTCCAACAACCAGTTCAACGGCACCCTCCACTACTACTTGTCCACCATGAACAGCCTCGAGGTCCTGGACGTCTACGACAACGACCTCTCCGGCCCGCTCCCGCTCCCGGACACCAACAGCAACCTCCGCCACCTCGACCTCGGTGGCAACTTCTTCTCCGGCAGCATCCCGACCAGCTTCGGCCGCCTGCAGGCCATCCAGTTCCTCTCGGTCGCCGGCAACAGTCTCAGCGGCCGCATCCCGCCGGAGCTCGGCAACCTCACCGCCCTGCGCCAGCTCTACCTGGGCTACTACAACCAGTTCGACGGCGGCATCCCCGCGTCGCTGGGCCGCCTCGCCAGCCTGGTGCACCTGGACCTGGCCAGCTGCGGACTGCAGGGGGAGATACCGCCGTCGCTGGGAGGCCTCGCCAACCTCGACACGCTCTACCTGCAGACCAACCAGCTGAACGGCACCATCCCGCCCGCGCTCGCCAACCTCACCGCTCTCAGGTTCCTCGACGTCTCCAACAACGCGCTCACCGGCGAGATCCCGCCCGAGCTCGCCGCGCTCACCCACCTCCGCCTCCTCAACATGTTCATCAACCGCTTCCGTGGCGGCATCCCGGAGTTCATCGCCGACCTCCGCTCGCTCCAGGTCCTCAAGCTCTGGCAGAACAACTTCACCGGCTCCATCCCCGGGGCTCTCGGCCGCGTCGCGCCGCTCCGTGAGCTGGACCTGTCCACCAACAGGCTCACCGGCGAGGTGCCGCGCTGGCTGTGCGCGCTCCGCAAACTCGACATCCTCATCCTCCTCGACAACTTCCTCTTCGGCCCGGTGCCGGAGGGGCTCGGCGCGTGCCGGACGCTCACGCGGGTGCGCCTGGCCCGGAACTACCTCACCGGCCCGCTCCCGCGCGGCTTCCTCTACCTGCCGGCGCTCACCACGCTGGAGCTGCAGGGCAACTACCTGACGGGGCAGCTCCATAATGAGGATGAGGACGCTGGCAGCCCGCTGTCTTTGCTCAATCTCTCCGGCAACAGGCTCAACGGCTCCCTCCCGGCCTCCATCGGCAACTTCTCCTCCCTGCAGACGCTCCTGCTCAGCGGCAACCACTTCACCGGCGAGATCCCGCCTGAGGTTGGCCAGCTGAGGCGGCTGCTGAAGCTGGACCTGAGCGGCAACAACCTGAGCGGCGAGGTCCCTGGCGAGGTCGGCGAGTGCGCGTCGCTGACGTACCTAGACCTGAGCGCGAACCAGCTGTGGGGCGCCATGCCAGCGCGGGTGGTGCAGATCAGGATGCTCAACTACCTCAACGTGTCGTGGAACAAGCTCAACGGCAGCATCCCCGCGGAGATGGGCAGCATGAAGAGCCTCACCGACGCCGATCTCTCCCACAACGACTTCTCCGGCCACGTGCCCCACAACGGGCAGTTCGCCTACTTCAACGCGTCGTCCTTCGCGGGCAACCCGCGGCTGGTGCTGTGCGGCACGCCCGCCCCCGGCCCCGCCCCCGGGACGACGACGCCTGGCAGCGGGGGGGACGGGCGGGCGCCGGTGATGTGGCTGGCGGCGGCGCTGGGGCTGCTGGCTTGCTCGGTGGCGTTCGCGGCGGCGGCGGTGGCGACGACGCGATCGGCGATTGAGCGGAGGCGGCGGTCGGGGTGGCAGATGAGGGCGTTCCAGAAGGTGCGGTTCGGATGCGAGGACGTGATGCGGTGCGTGAAGGAGAACAGCGTGGTGGGGCGTGGCGGGGCTGGGGTGGTGTACGCCGGGGAGATGCCCGGCGGGGAGTGGGTGGCGGTGAAGCGGATCGTCGACGGTGGGTTCTCGGCGGAGGTGCAGACGCTGGGGAGGATCCGGCACCGCCACATCGTGCGGCTGCTGGCCATGTGCTGGAGCGCGGAGGCGAAGCTGCTGGTGTACGAGTACATGGCCGGGGGGAGCCTGGGCGACGCGCTGCACGGCCACCACCGGCACCACGACGAGTACGACGACGATGGCAGCAATACTAATATTATTGGGTCGTTGTTGTTGCCGTGGGCGGCGCGTCTTCGTGTGGCGACGGAGGCCGCCAAGGGGCTGTGCTACCTGCACCACGACTGCTCCCCTCCCATCCTCCACCGCGACGTCAAGTCCAACAACATCCTTCTCGACGCCCGCCTGGAGGCGCACGTCGCCGACTTCGGCCTCGCCAAGTACCTGCGCGCCGGCGCCTCCGAGTGCATGTCCGCCATCGCCGGCTCCTACGGCTACATCGCGCCAGGTATAAGCTTACTACTCCTACTAGGCAGCTTTCAATCTTTGACCGACTAAAATTAAGGGTATGTTTGGTAGAACTTTAACTCCTAAATTTTGCTATAAAAGTTAGGTCTGGTGTGGAGTTGACTAAATCCAGCTCCACCTCTCTAGTTTATTTTATAAGAGAGCTCTATCAAACTCTGTTTCTATTTTTGGTAGAGCTGAAACTATTTGGCTGGGCTCCAGTTCTAAAAGAGATGGAAAGCTGAAGCTGTGACAAACAGTCCCTTACTCCACTACTCTAGACTCCAGCTACTAGCTAGACGGACCAATCATGCATCCATCCAGCATTCCATATTGGACGGACGTTGGTGGTGTAGTGTACTAGTCGTCGTACGTGGTGCTAATCTCCTCTCCTACTACAGTTATTATTATTATTAGGGTGTGCGCATTCTTTTCTTTCCATGCAAGCATGTACTCCGTACTGTGTGTCACCACACCACATTTGGCCTGCACTGCATCTGCATGCCATTGCCAGCCAAAGGAAACCAAGCAGCAGCCCTCTGCTGCGTCTGATGATGACTAGACTCCTCAAAGGACGAGCCTTTCTTTCTTTTTCTTTTCTTTGCTGCATAGTAGTACGGATGCATGCATGGATCGACTGAATCTTTCGCTTTCGCTTTTACTTTTACTGCTAGTACATGTCTTGCGGTTGATGATTTGCCTCAATGAGTCGTCCTCCTATCCTACCTAGACAAGCGATGCGATGCGGCGGCAGCAGAACAACAAAGCCTTGTTTGCTTTTAAACAGAGTCTAAAAAGAATGAACAAAGTCTCTTTTCATTTGGTCTTTCTTCTTCACAAAGCATATGCTCCTCTTTTAGTTAGTTTTTTTTAAATTTCTGCTGATTAATTGAGTATATAAATGTGCTTTTGCAGAGTATGCATACACGCTGAAGGTGGACGAAAAGAGCGACGTTTACAGCTTTGGGGTGGTGCTGCTGGAGCTGATAACGGGGCAAAAACCGGTGGGAGAGCACCTGCAGCTGCATCAAGAGGAGGAGGAGGAAGCAAATACGACGACGACGGTGGTGGACCTGGTGCAGTGGGTGCGGGCACGCTGCGGCAGCGGCAAGGACGGAGTGTGGCGCGTCCTCGATCGGCGGCTGGGCGGCGACGTGCCGGCAGCGGAGGCCACGCACATGTTCTTCGTGGCGATGCTGTGCGTGCAGGAGCACAGCGTCGAGCGCCCCACCATGCGCGAGGTCGTGCAGATGCTCGAGCAGGCAAAGCAGCAGCTCAGCCGCTGCCACCCTCCTCCTCCTCCTCCAACATCCACGTCGATCGACCATGCATGCATGATATAATATGATATGATATGCCTGCTACTGTATATGCTTAGCGTACGTCTCCTAATTGCCTTGCTAATAGGAGTACTTCTACACCACATATGCATATGCGTGCGGATCGTTTCGAGCCGACATACATGTCCAACGGATGCTCATATGTCTGATGACAACGTACGATCGAGATATATATATATACGACATGCATGGAGCTCCGGCCGGCCGGCTTGCTGACTATTAGGAATACTTTGCCATATATGTACATATTGTATTGTATTGTTTCTTTCCTTGTATTCTCCTCTAATTGAGAATCCTGTACATGTGCTTCCTATATTAATACATGGCCACCCCTCCCATTGGGTGTGTGGTGTTCTCCCCATTCCATTCTACATGGTATCAGATTCCAAGTTTTCTTCTCCTCTTCCGTTGCTCTAGCGCTGCTTCCTCTCCGGTCGCTGCGTCCACCGAGCGTCGCCGCCTCCCTGGCTGCCGCGCCCCTCTTCCCTCACCATGTCCACTTCCTCGGCTACTTCCGCTACCACCGACTCCGCTACGGTGTTGTCTTCCACCTCTACCGTCGCCCCGGTTTTCGTCAACCCGTATGCGACCGTCGCCGTCAAGTCCCATGTTCCGATCTCCCTCGAGCTTCATAACCCCAACTACAACAAGTGGAAGGCCTTCTTCCGCTCGATGTGTGGGAAATTCGGTCTCCTCGATCATCTTGACGCTGCTCCTCCCGCCAACCCTGACGCCGCCTGGGAACAGGCCGATTGCTGCCTCTGCAGCTGGCTCTTCGGCTCCGTCGCCGACGACGTCCTCGACCTCGCCATGGAGCATGATCAATCGGCCCAGGACTTGTGGATCGCCATCGACAACCTCTTTCAAGCCAACAAGGAGCCTCGCGCGATCTATCCGCATCACGAGTTCCACTCCATGACCCAAGGCGATCTCTCCGTCGCCGACTATTGTCAGCGCATGAAGACGGCGGCTGATGCCCTCCGCGACGTCGGCCACCCCGTCACCGAGTCCCAGCTCGTCCTCAACCTCCTCCGCGGCGTCAATTCGCGCTTCACCAGCACGGCCGACAACATCGCGAGCGCCCCTATCTTGTCATCCTTTGCCTCTGCGAGGAACATGCTGGTTCTCAAGGAGCTTCGCAACACCAACTCGGTACAAGTCCAGTCCGAGACTGCCCTCGTCGCAGCCAACAACGCCCACTCCAACTGCACCGGGGGCACTTGCCACTCCTCTGGCAGCGGTGGGCAGCAGCAGAACCGCGCCGGCGGCAGCAAGAACAAGGGCAAGAACGGCGGCCGCCCTGGTGGACAGAACAACGGCAGCAACAGCTTCGGCACCAGCACTTTCTCCATCCCTGCTCCACGCCAAGCTGCACCATGGGTGTGCTTCTCGCCCTGGGCAGGACAGCAGCAACCCTGGCGTGCTCCCAGCGCCGAGATACTTGGGCCGTATCCTTAGGCTCACATTGCCTTCGCCGGGCCATACTCCTCGCCACTGCCTGCAGGGTCTGTCCAGCCGGCTTGGGACCAAGCTGGCCTTGTCGCCGCTCTCAATGGAATGATGCTTTACAACCCCAACTCGTGGGTTCTCGACACGGGTGCAACTTCGCACATGTCCACCGACGGTATACTCGTTACTCGCCTCCCCAACTCACAAACTTATATTACCGTTGGTAATGGTCACTCCATTCCGGTTGTTTGCCGTGGCACTTCCTTTCTCCCTATTGGCACCACTAGATTTGACCTTCATCATGTTCTTGTTGCTCCCTCTTTGGTTCGCAATTTACTCTCCTTTCGCCAATTTACCCATGACAATAAATGTTCCATTGAGTTTGACGAGTTTGGTTTTTCTATTAAGGACCCTCGGACCCGGCGCGTGATTCTTCGTTGCAATAGCCATGGCGACCTCTACACCCTCCCGACCGATGCACCTTCCATCGCCTCCCACTGCAACCTCGCCACCTCCTCCACGTTATGGCATCGCCGCCTCGGTCATCCGGGTCCAACCGCCGTCACCACTCTCCAACATTTATCCGCCATACCTCGCTCCAAGACAAATAATTCCCTTTGCCATGCTTGTCAGTTAGGGAAACACACTCGTCTTCCTTTTAATAAGTCCACCTCCAGTACCTCTTCTCCTTTTGAACTTGTGCACTGTGATGTATGGACTTCTCCCGTTATGAGCATTTCGGGCTTCAAATTTTATTTAGTGCTAGTTGATGATTTTACTCATTTTTGCTAGACGTTTCCTCTTTGCCACAAATCCGATGTTCATCGCCATATTGTTGAGTTCGTTGAGTATGCCCACACACAGTTCGGCCACCGCCTCAAGTGTCTCCAAGCCGACAACGGTACCGAGTTTGTTAATCACAACACCACCTCCTTTCTCGCTGGTAGAGGTTCCCTGTTACGACTCTCCTGCCCATATACTTCCCCGTAAAACGGCAAGGCCGAACGCATGATTCGCACCCTCAACAACTCCGTCCGTACCCTCCTCCTACAAGCCTCCATGCCACCCTGTTGACAGAAAACACGTGGCCTGGGAGATCTGCTTAACTCCAGTGCAGGTCCAAAACTCGCCTTCGGGTGTATGAGCGTGCCAGTTAATTTGATCCTGCAATCAACAAGAAATAGAACAGAGAAACCGCAATTAATCCTATAAATGATAGCCGATCGGTTAGGTGCTGATGACATTTCATTTATTTCAAGCCGATGTCATGCGTACATCGATCGGCAAATATCAATAAGTAAATCAGAACTAAATCTACTCGATCGGCTATAGATATTAATGATATATAATCCTTATATTGATATATACTTAAATCAAGTGATTGGGATAGATCGGTCGTCTTGCCGAGACAGTATAAATCACTTAGATCAAAATATATATTAATAGTGGGATTATATACATTTATAGCATAGCCGGTCAAGTGGATCTAGCACGTATCGGCTAATGCTCCGATACTACTCTATATTAAGATGTTAAAGCAAGTAGAATATACCAAACAGAAGCCTAATATACCTAGATGCGACAAGATCCTAACATAAAGGGCAGATTTAACATATAGATTAAGCATATGGAATAAAAGTAGTTAAATCAGATAAGATCGGCTGAAACTCCGATACTACCCTAATCGGCAACCAGAAAGTAGGCTAGAGATTGCAATTCTAAGCATGACTTAATAGATCAAACTCAATTGATGCAGCATTAAGTATGAAAAGAAGAACAATATCTAGACAATCAAGCCGCTGAAAGTTTCATAGAGTGGTAGATATATCACATAATCTAAGTTAACGTCATTATGTAACCTAATCGGCTGCCTTCCATTAACAGATGTTAGCCGATTATAGGTTAGATAAAGATATTATCAAAGATTATGTGAGATATATGATAACTCGACGAATTATATAGACAAGATTAGAGTATCATAAAGATGGAAGCACTAATCCTGAGAACATAAGTCATCATGACAAGTTTTACCTCTTTGTTGAAGATCGAAACCGATGCAGCTCAACCCGAGAGTACGAACTCGTCGAAATAAAAGTAAAGCAAAAAGGGTGGCGATGCGCCGAGATTGTATTGGATGTCTCTTTTTTTACATAGGGCTCGGGTCTACTTATACCCGAGAATTACAAGATACGTCCATAACGGACACGACTATTATCTCTAACAAACTCTAAGATACTATAAGTCTTTACGGCAGACTTTTGCCCAAACATATCTCTAAGGAAATTACACAGAATATCCTAATTAATAGATACAATTGCCTTCCCAGGACTCTATCCATGCGTGGCAATCATCTTGAAGCACATCAACTTGAACCCGACGACATACGCCGAGTCATATTATCGGAATCGGCTGTATTGGCTAGCCCCGTCCGACTCGAACTCTGCCGACCTGACCTTAGCCGATTTGGACTGCAGCCGATTCTTACTCTGCTTCCGCAACGATCTTCATCTTGGATTCCACTTCGATCTGATCTTCAGCTCCGATGCCAATAGTGATAGAATTTACCAAATTTGGTCGTTAACACACCCTCCTATTGGGCCGAAGGTCTAGCCACCGCCACATACCTCCTGAACCGCCGACCCTCGTCCTCGGTAAACAACTCAATCCCATTCCAGCTTCTTCATCGCAAGATTCCCGATTATTCCATGTTACGAGTGTTTGGGTGTTTATGCTATCCTAACCTTAGTGCCACCGCTGCCCACAAACTTGCACCCCGCTCCACCGCTTGCGTCTTTTTGGGCTACCCCTCCTCGCACAAAGGTTATCGCTGCCTCAACATATCCACCCGCCACATCATTATTTCGCGCCATGTCATTTTTGATGAGACACAGTTTCCATTTTCGGGAGATCCCGTCGATGCTTCCTCTTTGGATTTTCTACTACAGGATGCTCCTGCTCCCTCTGTGGTCGCTCCACCACTGGCTGGTGTTGAGCAGCCGCACCTGCCGCACGCTCCGTTCCCTGTGAACGTTGAGCAGCGGCTACCCACGGGTGCTCCCTCGGCTGAGGACGAGCACCTGCCCTACTACGTGCAGCCGCATCACACTGCGGGCGGGACGACGGCAAGTTCCACATAGCCGGCTGCCATATCTCCATCTTCCTCAAGCAAGGCACCGTCGTCACCAGCTATCCGGCCGTCCACGTCTTCTTCACGACCAGCCGGCACGGTGGCGCCATTCCCGTACCACTACCAACGACGACCGGCGCCGACTCCTCCACCCCAAGTCGTCGCTCCGGCTGCACCCACACCTCCCCAGCGGGTCCACACCATGGTGACACGCTCCAAGACCGGTTCTCTCAAGCCAGTGGACCGACTCGTGCTCTCGGCATCCCACAGCGCCATTTCTCCACTGCCGGCCAACTACCGCTCTGCCCTTGCCGACCCCAACTGGCGTGCAGCCATGGCCGAAGAGTTCAAGGCTTTGATCGACAATGGCACGTGGCGGCTCGTCCCTCGTCCACCTGGTGCAAACGTCGTTACCGGCAAGTGGATCTTCAAGCACAAGTTCCACTCCAATGGCTCGCTCGCCCGTCACAAGGCACGTTGGGTTGTTCGTGGCTACTCCCAACAACATGGCATCGACTACGACGAGACCTTCAGCCCCGTCGTCAAGCCCTCTACCATTCGTGTCGTCCTCAGCATCGCCACCTCCCGCTCCTGGCCGATTCATCAACTTGATGTGAAGAACGCTTTCCTCCACGGCACCCTCGATGAGACGGTGTATTGCCAGCAGCCGTCCGGCTTCATCGACCCCGCTGCTCCCAATGCTGTGTGCCTCCTCCAGCGCTCCCTCTACGGCCTCAAGCAAGCGCCTCGGGCTTGGTACCAACGGTTCGCTACATACATTTGTCAGCTGGGTTTCACGCCATCGGCCTCCGACACATCGCTCTTCATCCTCCAGGACGGTGATCGCCTCGCCTACCTGCTGCTCTACGTCGACGACATCATCCTCACGGCCTCCTCCACTGAGCTTCTTCGCCACATCACGGCTCGGTTGCACACCGAGTTCGCCATGAAGGATCTTGGTGACCTCCACTTCTTCCTCGGCATCTCCGTCCGTCGCACACCCGACGACCTCTTCCTATCCCAGCGACAGTACACCGTCGATCTCCTGCAACGAGCCGGCATGTTTGAATGCCACCCCACCGCCACCCCGGTTGATGCTCGCGCCAAGCTCTCCGCCTCGGAGGGTGCCCCCGTCGCCGATCCTACTGAGTACAGGAGCCTCGCCGGTGCCCTCCAGTATCTCACCCTCACCCGTCCTGAGATCGCCTATGCCGTTCAACAGGTGTGTCTTTTTATGCATGACCCCGCGAGCCTCACCTCGCCTTGGTTAAACGCATCCTGCGCTACATCAAGGGCTCACTCTCCGCCAGCCTCCACATCGGCACCGGTCCGGTCGGGTCTCTGACCGCCTACTCCGACGCAGACTGGGCCGGCTGCCCCGACTCTCATCGCTCCACCTCAGGCTACTACATCTTCCTCGGCGATAACCTGGTGTCTTGGTCCTCCAAGCGACAGACGACGGTCTCCCGCTCTAGTGCCGAAGCGGAGTATCGTGCCGTTGCTCACATGGTTGCCGAGTGCTGTTGGCTCTGCCAGCTACTCCAGGAGTTGCATGCTCCCATCTCCACCACGACCGTTGTCTTTTGCGACAACGTCAGTGCTGTCTACATGACCGCCAACCCGGTTCACCACCGCCGCACCAAGCACATTGAGATCGATATCCACTTTGTTCGGGAAAAGGTGGCTCTGGGACAGGTCCGTGTGCTCCATGTTCCATCTACGCATCAGTTCGCCGATATCATGACCAAGGGCTTGCCTGTGCAGATATTTACAGATTTTCGATCCAGCCTTTACGTCCGTGATCCTCCTGCTGCGACTGCGGGCGGGTATTAGGAATACTTTGCCATATATGTACAGATTGTACTGTATTGTTTCTTTCCTTGTATTCTCCTCTAATTGAGGATCCTGTACATGTGCTTCCTATATTAATACATGGCCACCCCTCCCATTGGGTGTGTGGTGTTCTCCCCATTCCATTCTACACTGACGATCGACCTGATCTGATCAATGTGTATATTAATTTTATATATATATATATATATATATATATATATATATATATATATATATATATATATATATATATATATATATATATATCCAAGAGATCAATGTCCCTACGTACCTACTCCCTCCGTTTCACAATGTATGTCATTCTAACATTTCCCACATGTTAATCATTAACATCAATATGAATATGAGAAATCCTAGAATGACTTACATTATGAAACGGGGGAAGTAACTAGCTACTACTACCTCCGTTTCAGGTTATAAGACTTTTTAGCATTGCTCACATTCATATAGATGTTAATGAATTAAGGCACACATATATGTCTAAATTCATTAACATATATATGAATGTGGGTAATGCTAGAAAGTCTTATAATATGTGAAAGGGTCAATTAGGCCTAGAGGGGGTGAATAGGCTAATTTAAAATTTTATGCGGAAGCTAAAACTGAGTTAGGGTCAGAAAGTCTGATCCACAGTCAGACTATCCGAAAATATCAGATAGTCTGATGTTGGATCAGACTGTCTGATCCACTAAAGTAACACTACAAGTAGATCTAGTGCACAAACAAGAATATGCCACAAACAGCGACTAGATCTATAGCGGCACAAAAAAGCAAAGCTAAATGAGGGGAGAAGTGATATCACCAACAATGAAGTTCACCGAGTTGTTTCCGGAGTTCAAATCCTTGAGGGGATTCTACTCTCCGTTGAGGAGCTCACTAAGAGCCGGGTCTTTGCTAACCCTTTCCTCAAGAGGTTGCACTAAGCACTCCTCCTTCCACTAAGGGGTATCTCTTTCCTTGCTGAGGCGAGATCCGGCCTTCACAAACTTCTCCCGGCCAACCACACGTAGATCGGTGGCTCGGAAGTGACACCTAGCCGTCTAGGAGTCCTCAACCTCCAAGAGTAACAAACACCACACAACTCTTGGTCAAACCCTAGTGCTCAAGATCGAGTGAAACACACACTAGGCCCTCAAACACCAAATCCACAACCACCAAGATCCACCACACAAAGAACAAGGAGGGATTTGAGAGAGGGAGAGAGAGCTCAAAGATCCAAAGCACCTTAGCACCAAGCTCAACCCAAAGTGAATGAGAATGAAATGAGTTGGGTAACCCTAGAAAAGGGTTAGGTGGGGGGTATTTATAGATGCCCCTAAAATGTGGCCGTTGGGAGAGAATCTTTTCATCCCACCTCGGAAAGTCCGAGGTGACATCGGATAGTCCGATGTTTTTGACACCCAAGCAGGCCAGAGACAAAGAACGAAATTCTGGAGAATTTCGGACAATCCGATCGATCGGATAGTCTGATGTCATATCGGATATTCCGTTATTTTTGAACCAAGAATTTCATCCTCTCACAGAGACTCAAGTTCCATTGAATTTCGGAGTCTTTGGGTCATCGGATACTCCGATCACATCGGATAGTCTGATTTGAAACTCACTCAAGAGGAATAAAAAGCAATTTAAAACAGAGAGTGAAGTTCTGGGAAATTTCAGATAGTCCAAAGTATCGGATAGTCCGACCTTATATTGGATAGTCCGATATTTTTAGCCAACACTCAGACCAAAGACAGAGAGCAAAGTTCTGTGAAATTTCGGATAGTCTGAGCATCGGATAGTCTGATCAAGATCGGATAGTCCGACAGGAATAAAACAGGAACACTTCAAATAAATGATTTTGAGCACTAGTGTTCTACCAAATATATGCATGTGGTATCCCTCTTAATAGTACGGCATCCTAATACTCAAGAACACAAGATATACATGGATTAGAAGACAATTACCACAAAAGATGCCGCAATACTTATTGTGTTGACATCCACTCCTTTTTCATCCTTGCATACATCTCAACAAAAAGCATTAGTTACCCTCTAATTGTGTTGTCATTAACACCAAAATAAATGAGGGGTCCTAGATGCACTTTCAATATGAAATGGGGAAGTACCTCTTTTGATCGAGATGGTATGATGTTGGGTCGTATCTAAAAAAGTTTCAATATGCGGAGACTGAGAAAGCGGCTTGATATGCATGTAGTCCTAGGCAAAGTGGGGCAAACCCAGCCCAGCCGAGCAGGTAAGAGGGCCTCAATCTCCCCTCCAACGGGGATTGATAGGCCCGGGCCATTAATGTCTCAACTGAAAAAACGGGTATAACGCATCCTCCATCTTCAAAAACCGGTACAGATAGACTACTTCAATTGTTTGAGAAGTGACTACACTGACGTAGCAAGTTTACCGCGGTTTGAGTTAGCACAGGGCAAGTGTCCACCTTGGGTTCGATGCTCTTAGAGAACAAAAAAAACTCAATGTCAGTGGAGGAGGAGATCAGACGGGTGTTATCCATGGCCATCCAGCAACACCTCAGCGTTGAAATAGAGGTAGTGGCCAGCGTCCTGAGGGACCCGAGGTCTGGTGGCAAAGATGACGACGAGAGTACTAGGAGCAAGACACGAGCCTTTGACGCTACTACCCAAGCCACGGTGGAGGAAGACGAGTTGACAGGTGCCGAGGAGCAAGGCCATGACGAGATTAGTCGGAGTGAGGTGCATGGCTCTAGAAGCAAGCCATTGCCAAGGAGCAACGTGACGATGGTGGCAGACTCATGTACTCGACGGATGGGCCACCAACACGAGCTCGACCATAGTGCCAGATCTGGAAAGAGGGAAGAAGAGGTGGGTAGAAGCTCGTGGTCATCGGGGAGAAATCTTTTGGGTGGTGGGTGTAAGCGATGTTAGTGAAGATGGCCACTCGCACAATCTAGGCTTTGCCGCCGTCCGCCACTACTGATCTTCACCACCCATCGAGTTGGCAAATGGCGAGCGAGACACGAGCGTGCAGTGGCAGTGGCTGGTTGACAAGATGTGAGCAGCTCTCGGACGACCGGTTTGACAAGTACAAGACTATGTTCGGTGATGGTGTAGGGGTAGCGACATGGGCTGGGTCGATACAGAGATGATCTTGGGGTTACCGAGAGGCACGACAATGGAACCTGCAAGGGTGGCCACCAAGACGGGGTTAATTTTGCAACAAAAATCTCAAATAGGGATGATATTTTGTAAAAAATGAGAATGTGATCCTTGGTTGAGCCTCGAGTTTTTTATAGTACCGAGCACCACCTCAGCCTCGAGCTCAACCTCCTCCTCCTTGTGGCGTTTAGCGAGCTCCCTTTTGATTCCGCTATGCCTCCATGGCTCCATCAAGAGAGGAGGTAGAGAGATTGAGGGAGGGAGCCTGGTAAGGAGAAAGTACCCCTGGCATGTGGGTCCCACATTATTTGTCCTAATTTTTTCCCTAACTAACATTGACAGGTGGGTCCTATTGGTATTTTTATTATTTATTTTGTGTTTAATGTCACGTAGGACAAAACTGCTATCCAAGTTGTTTTTTGGGTGGTAAATTCACTCGATTTAAAGAGTTGAGGGAGTTTTTATATCGTGTTTTATGATTGAGGGATACGAATCAAACTCTAACCACAGTTGAGGTGTTATAAAACCGACCCTATTCTGTTTCTGATTTGCACTAATTGAAAGTCGGAGTTATAAAATAAAAGAAAAATTAAAGGTAGAGAGTTCGGAGAGAAATACAATTTATTTAGAAAGAGAGGGACGGTAGGAGAGAATCTTTTAGCGTCCAAAATCTTTCTGTCGTGTATCCGTCTTCCCCTCTGCGTCGAAGGAAATCTCCCGTCTCGTCGTCGCTCCTTGCGCCGATCTCCATCCCGCGAGTCGCGAGCAGAGAGCAGGGGAGGGGAGGGGAGGGGCGCAGTCACCCGTCCTGCTGCATCCTGGTGAACATCCACATCCTCTCTCTCCCACCTACTTTTATCTCGAATTTGCTTGCGTTAACCCTAGCTTCTCTTCTAGATCTGGAAGAAGCTCTTCGATCTCTTAATTTCAGAGCCTTAACCTTACTACAAGTAACGATTTGTTTGTTCCCCTCAAAACCCCCATGTCCCAAGTTGGATCCGCCCCTGCTACTTAGCACCTGTTCCTATTCTCTACCTTGTACTTACGGTAGCACACCTCATAAGGCCTTATAACAATACAACTTAAAAGGATAGGTATGCCCTGCTTCAATGTGAAGCTATGTTCAAAATACCTGGCTCAATGTGCAATTCACTATCTGTTTTTTTTTACCCCCAAATCATCATCAACAACAAAAAACAATCTAACTCCTGCATCCAGCTTATGTTGTACGCGCATGCGCCAATTACAATAAGAAGAGATGGAAATTTCTTTCAAACTACTCCAGGCATTAAATGAATAATCAATCCTAAACATGCAAGTATGACCAGGGGCGGATCCAGGAACAAAAAATTGGGGGGGCTCAATTACACAGTTTCTTTAACCTCCAGCTATCTAGGGACCTTTAGTTTATCATTCATGGTGAAAAAATTGAAGGGGGTGCTCCGGGGGTATCCATGAGTCTTGTGGGTGTAGGGGGGACTTGAGTCCTGGGACTTGAGTCCCCCTGCACCCACGTTGGATCCGCCCCTGAGTATGACTAGCTAACATTTTTGGGCTTCCAACACAGTAGTCAACTACTTGTATTTTCCTGAGCTCCCCCTTTATACAAACAGTATTAAATACTATAAATAAATTTCTCTCTAGTAGGAGTATCATCTTATCCATTGTCCGTTGACAGTTATTTGCATTGTGTTAAACAGACTATGCTCTTTCTAATAGAGGTAACATAGTTGGATGGATGATGTTTATGGAAGGATAGAGGTCTTCCCCCAGCACTTCTTACCATCACAACAATCCATGGAGACCCCTGCTGATGGTCTCTCCACAAGTAAGACTAACCTGGATTCTCCACCAAGGTGATACTTTCAACCAAAGGAATTCTCTGGCTCTGAAATTATTTTCCCCCCTTTCTTACTGCAATAGTATGTTGCTCTTGTCATGTTAACAGTTCACGTAGACGTTCCTGGACTCCGAAACGAGTAATGGGAGCTGCATCACTTTTGCATTTATTGTCTCTTCCTCGCATAAGATGGTCTTCCAGCACTGAGGATGATGACAAGGTTAATCAAGTACTTCCTAGTGTAGAAATTTTACATCATGCTACCGTGATCTCTGTCTTATATAGCACAAGCATTTTTCATTGGTAACAGATTGAGCTAACCAGAGCTGAAGTAGAATCATTAAGAACCGAGATTGCTGATGCTGAAGAGAGGGAATCTCAGTTAAAAGCTCGGTACGGTACATTAGTTAACCAAGTTTATTGACCTTATTTTCCAACAATGTCACAGTATGTAAGCATTTTTTTTCCCGCCATATGTGATTGATATAGTTTGTGTCTTCCAGGTTGGAAAATATTGATGAAGTTTTGAGATATGCACGGCTCTCTGGGTATCTCTATATTAGAAGTGTAAGAAACCTTTGCACTTTGACCTTCTCCCCATTGCTTCACTCTTGTCACGTGGAGGCTGATATGATATTTTGTTGCATATAGAGATGGACTCAACTTCCTGGAGAGCCACCTATTCTAGATGATGCTGATGTCGATGATTGGCTTCCTCGGTTTGTTGTTCTGCAAGGGCAATGTGTATACTATTATCTTAAATCTACAGGTAAATATTTTGTTATGGAGTATGTCATGTGTTGGTCACTCAATCACACATTAATTAGTGGCGGGTCAAGGATTTGAACATGAGGCGGGGCAAGAGGCAATGGCATAAAAGATGACAATATATATTCTGCATCTAGGGTAATAGAGCATATCTATATATATTACATATGCGTTTAGGCATCTTAGGCAACACAAAAGAATATTTTGCCCTAACTGTCTTGTAAAAGCAATCTAACATTCTTTTGCCTTTTCATTAGTCTGATAAACACATAAATTACATATTCACAAAATTACCCAGCAAAAATGTCTAACCAACATTCCAGTATCCACTAAGATTTCATAATAACTAAAAGTGAACCCTAAGACAAATAACATGCATACTGTGATCTTCTAGAGGCATGGCTAATTAACCGATTGATCACAGGGATGACTCCTGGCTTGTTTCCTGCTTTAGCCCATTAGCAGTTGGCTGCATTAGAGCTTAGATAATACATAATTTGGTACTTAGCTGGTTTGGAGAAAAAAAATTGTTGGGGTGGCTCTGCCACTAAATACAGTCGAAACATATGTACTTAATGCCCCAGCAACAGCATATTTTGCCGGGTATGCTGGAATCTTGATACAGTTAGATCGACTAAATTCATAAACCTTCTAGCAGGGTTTACAAAACCGTGCGGTTATCACGTGCGATAACCTTCTCAGTTTTTGATACCTCACGATAACCACGTGGTTACCACGGTAACCGCCAAAACCGTGGGGTGGCAGTAACCCCACCCCAAACGGTTTGGTAAACCCTGCCTTCTAGGTGTCTTACTTTTATGCAAAAGAACACCTATCACAGAGTCCAATCTTAGCTAAGTACTGATTTCAGATCTAAGTCCACAAGAATCCACACTGCTGTGTGATATTGTGGAAGTGGGACAGCTTCCGAACTTTGTGCCAGAAGATGAGAAAACAAGATACGCATTCTACATAATGACCAGTCAAGGTTTGAAGTTTGAATGCTCGAGCATGTCTGAGATACAGGTAAAAGAGTGCACTATGCCCCCCCCCCACCCCAAATAAAACAGAAAATATACTGGTATACTTGGTCGTGCTTGATCCTGACAATCATTAGTATATATGCTTGACGATTTGGCAGGTGGATTCATGGGTGAGAGCGATAAGAGGAGATTGCGGATTGTCTGACGGTGGTGAGAGTAGGAGCAAGACAAGCAGGCAAGAAGTTGGGTCATGGTAATCAATCCTTGTTCTTGAAGGGCGTACACATTAAGATGTATTATGCAGTGATGTACAGTAGATAAGTCGAGAAAATATATAGTGAAAAACTTGGAAACTAGCATAAGATGTAAAAAGATGTCCATTTTTTAATCTTACGATAGTTTTCAGGTTTTAAGTAGATAGGTGGTTTTTTTTTTCCCATAGAGAAGCGAATGCCTGTGCTGATAGCAACTATGTGTGGATACATGTAAATGGGCAAAGTGTAAGACATTGCATATGTATGTGGTGATACATGTAAATGGGCAAGTGTAAGACATTTGAATCGGTTAACTGAAGATTTGGGAGTTGTGAGGAACAATACAAGCAAGGAATACTAGTAGTATGAGCGGGTGAAGTGGAATGGTACGCTGGGAGACCTGCCCCTGCAGAATGGGAGGGAAATGGTGAGATTGGATCTCATCTCGGCATGCAACCACATGTAAAATGTTTTTCCTGGCTTGCGGATCCGATGGAACAATTGTTTACTCGGGTCTGTGCTGTGCTCTTCCTAATTGGTTTGATTTTATTATTAGAAAAAAAAAAGAGGTGCATGGTAGGTACTCTACTCCGGTATAATACTCCTGGCTGGCTATGAGATGGGAGGGAGGGAGGAGCGAGGAAGGAATGGTATGGGATGCTCATGCATTGCGTTGGTTGGGGGAAAATTAACGAGGTTCGATCTCTCCTCCCCGAAGCCGAAGGCCCAAGGGAAAAGAAAAAAAAGGCAAAGGGGCAAGAAGGGAAATGACCGTGGTGCCCCCGACAAGGAGGCCTCGAGGCAGGGAGAAAAGAGTAAAATAAAAAAAAGGAATCCTGAGCGCTGTCGTGTCGAGGCGTGCGCCAGCCACTGAGAAGGAGAAGAGGTCCTCCGGATCAAAGCGGCACCGACGACGCCGGCGAGGCCACTACTACCATATCATAGTACATACTAGTACAAGACTGGAGGGCTAGTGGGGTGGGGGTACAATCCAATCCAATCCAATCAAATCACATCGATCGACGCCGCAACCCAGCAGCAGCAGCGGAACCCTAGCCAAGCCACCATGAGCAAGCTCTGCCAGTCGGCGTGCAAGGCCGCCAAGTCTCTCCTCTCCGCCACCGCCGCCGCCTCCTCCCCGCGCACCTCCCTCCTAGCCGGTCAGTTAGTTGCTTTTCTTTTCTTTTGATTTGATTAGGGAGGAGGGTTCCAGGAGTGGACAAACTGATGAAATACTGTACGCACGCTGCACGCAGAGGGGAGGAACGCGGCGCTGGCCACCCTCACCAACCTGGGGAGGAAGACCCTCCCCACAGCTTACGCCTACTCCTACCACCACAACTCCTCCGCCGCCGCCGCCGGATGGCTCGCTGCCATCCCCGCCGCTGGTTCTATTCCTTCCACATCCGATCCCCACCACCAACCGATCCTTTCTTAATTTTTGTCTCTACTCTAATCGAATTCCCATTTCTCCTCTTCTCTTTTGCAGTTTACATGCTACAGGATCAGGAGGCGCATGCTGCAGAGGTACTAGTATTTCCTTCCTTCCTTCCGCCCCCACCCATCCCATTCCCCACTTTTTTTTTAATTCCTATTTATCCACTGCTCTATTAGAATTGATTTATTTGACAATGCTCCTTTCCTCCAATGTAGATGGAGCGCACCTTTATCGCCATCAAGCCTGACGGCGTCCAAAGGGGCCTGGTAACTACTACTTGTATTGCATCACCAACATGATTTTTTTTAATTTAATAATACTAACATGGGTTCTATTAAGTATCACCGTAGCATTAACACCAGCAAATTACTAGTGCATACATCATACTACGATATAAAATTACGGAATCCCATTACATGCTCATGTTGGTACCATGTACTTCCTCCGATTACTAGTACATCTCTATTACTAACATACTGGAGTACATATACTTCGATATACCACTAGTAACAACTATATAATGCATAGTACCATCTCATCTCAGTTCTACATATGACTAATAATACTGAGTAGTAATCACATTCACATGAGACAAACTTTGAGATGTGATGGCAGATCTGTCATTCTGCTCTCTTTTCATTTCTTTTCTCCAATTGGGCTCCTCAACTCTGCACTGCACACTTGGGGTCCTCTCCTCTCATCTCCTCTTCTCTCAGGTTTGTCAAATCAATGGTCCCCAGTACTACTACTAACATCCTGGCTAGTGGCAGGCCGACATGTAACCAATTTCAATCATGCAACCAAACACTAAATTGTACTCTACTGTTTATTGTCTCCATATGCCTGCTAATAATTTCCTACGGGAATACTGTATGATGGATGTTGTTCATATCCGCTTTTTCCTCCTCTTTCTACAGATTTCTGAGATACTGTCCCGATTTGAAAGAAAAGGATTCAAGCTTGTTGCCATCAAGCTGGTGGTTCCATCCAAAGAATTTGCTCAGAAGCACTATCATGATTTGAAAGACAGACCTTTCTTCAATGGATTGTGTGACTTCCTTAGCTCTGGCCCTGTGCTTGCCATGGTAAACTGATGCTTCATCCCTGCAAATCTATACTTTCTATAAACTTATAACCCACTAACTCTAAACCTTAACATGCAACCATGCCACATCATCACCCACTAGCAATAATTACATATTCAACCTCATGCAAGTATGCAGCATTATCTACAATCTATTTAATTCAACAAATCAACATGCAAACATATCCAATCATCACCCCTCACATCATTTTCACAATATTTTTACAAATCTATCTATCATTTTTATAATATTTAACAAAACTTATCAATATGTTCCACATTAAAGCACGTGTTTCATTCGTTTGTTTCATGAAAAATATTGATAAGCTCTGATATTTCATTTGTTCTCTTTTTACCCCTAGCTTGATTCTAACGAAAAAAATATATATTGAAAATTACTTAGTAATTCCCGTAGCAAAGTGCGGGGAATCACCTAGTACATTTTATACTATGCCCTGTGCTGCTGGGTAACAATACACGAATTGCTTCCACAATTATACAGGTTTGGGAAGGAGAGGGTGTTATCAAGTACGGGAGAAAACTGATTGGTGCTACAGACCCACAGAAGTCTGAACCAGGAACCATCAGGGGTGACCTTGCTGTTGTTGTTGGCAGGTAAATACTTCATCTTGCTTGCATTAGCCCTATCATTGATTGGTATATACTTCGTATGAAGAAAGGGCACTGCATCCATCTCTATTGCCTGATATTGTAATCTGATATTACCCAACATCCATTTTGTTTTCCATCCATATATACAGATGTAGAGAACCTGTCAATTAAATCCTGAATTTCTTCATGCCATCATGTGCTCTTTGTAAATCTTTCTAACTGACGTTCCATCAATTCCAACATCAGGAACATCATCCATGGAAGCGATGGCCCAGAGACTGCAAAGGCTGAGATTGGTCTCTGGTTTGAGCCCAGGGAGCTGGTCTCTTACACCAGCAACGAAGAGAAGTGGATCTACGGGGTCAACTAACCGGCGAATCATCTCCCCTGTTTGTTTTGTTTTTTTTTCATTTTCTCTCACTTTACCTAATTACATCACCATGGAAGAGTGTAATAAAGTTGCGATCGTGACATTTGGGGTTATGCCCATGTGATCTGGCGCAAATAAGAGGCCTCAAGAAGAATTGTCTACCTTCAATTGTAGAGCGTGCACTGAGTAATCAGACCATCACCTTCACTCAAATGGTCGAACGGATGGTGATGCCACTTGTTTTGTTATTGTTATATAATGGTACTACATGTTGTCTCTTGCTTGTTTTAGCCTTATGATGTCTTCTCCTTATTTTTGGACTTGCTCGAGTGCGAGATGCTAATTTGGAGCATTCTCGAACTGAAAGGAAAGGAGTTGTTAATCATAATAATAAGATATATAGTGCAGCATTTGGAAGCTCCATTTCTTGTACAGATGGAGGTATTACTAGTTTAAAGATTGCATAGGCGTTGATTGAGTACGGCATTTTAACTTGTACGAGAGTCGTCGTGACAAGAGAAGAAGAAGAAGATGTACACACGAGATGAGAGAGATAATGGATGCCTTCCAGTGCCAGTGCGAAGCCTGAAGGGAGCTGAAGTTTATTACTACTAGTGATAAGTTTCTTCATCGAGCCATTTGTACATGGATGGGCGGCCTTCAGCTCGCAGCAAGTAATACCGACTACTAGCATTATTACTAATTATTATTACACATGCATTGGAAGGAAAATAGAATTACAAGTACTAGTCTAGTAGTAGAAGGAGACGATCCAAAGCAGCTAAAATTAATTCCGACAAGTGCAGCCGCGACTACGGCGCCTCTCTTCCACCTTGGCCTCGCCCTCCCCCTACACACAAAGGCTGGGCCTTGCACCTTGGATCCTTTCCTCTCCTCCTCCTCCTCCTCCTCCTCCTCCACCAGCTAGAAGCTTCTAGAAGCCAAGGTTCCTTCCTTCACTGGCAGCTCGTCCTCTCCAGGAGTTACTTTAATTTGTTTCTTCCTCTTACTACTTCCTTGGCTTGAGCAAGTCGCCTTCTTCGATCTTGGCAAACCTCCCTCGCACTCTTGGCTGGCTGTCTGCAAGAGCCTTCCTGCAAGCATACTGCAACCATGCCAAACGATGCATCAGTCAGTGTCAGTCAGTCAGTCAGTCTCCTTGTTTGTACTATTATTCATCAGCCTCAATCAGCTTCTCTAATTAATCATGTAGTAGTACCTTCTCTGTCCTTATGTTCTCTTTTTTCTTTTCTTTGAAAAATTAAAAAGGAAGAGGACAATATATAGTTTTACCTTGATCTTTCTGCCAAAGTTTCTCTTCACCTTCTTCTTTCTGTACCTAGATAGCTTCTGCTTCCTTTCTTCAGATTTCAGGTCACTGATGGTTACAAGCCTCTCGCAAGATGCTAATTGAGCGTTTCCTGAGTTCCCGGGTCGAGGGGTGCTAGCTCCAAGATTCTGTTGGAAAGACAACTAGCATCGTAAGTACAATTCTTCAACAACCTAGCAGGGTCTGCAAATGTTTACTCGAACAATCTCACGGCCTTTCTAAAATAATACAGTATATAAAAACAAAAAACCATAGGATATACACGTACGCTTTGGCACCTAGGTAGTCTCTTAGAAACCAACTTTGTATGCAGGAGCTTGCATGTAAAAGTATCTTGAAAGAAAATTAAAACCACAAGGAAAAGGCCTACTTTGGGCAGAAATAGTAAAATCAGTGTCATAGCTTTGATGGCCTTTAATTTGAGTAAAGAAGCACCACGCACATATACATACAAGGGCAAAGGTGATTTCTTTTCTCGACACCTGTGTTTCGGAAACACACTTTACAATACACAGCCGTTGCTTGCTCACAACGATTCCTTATCTATCACTACCTTACCTATATACAGTAGTAAGTACATAACATAACCGCAAGAGAAAAATGATCAAACCTGAATGTCTCCTTCGCTGTATGCCCTCCTCAACCCAAACGCTGTCTCAAAGTCCAATCCTTGGAAGTCCAGGAAGTTTGGCCTGGCTGGTCCATTGATCCAATCAGCTGAGTTGAGGCACCCAGAACTGACACTTTTCTGGAGTGAACAACATTCAGGAACTGATGGCTTCTCCTTCTCCATGGCCGGTAGTTGTACTTGGGTTTCCCTAGGGAACTCTTCCACTTGCAGCATAGGAATCTTGACGTCCAGCAGTTCAGAAATAGTCTCTTCGATTGCGGACTTCTCCATGAGTTCCTTCTCGCACTCGTATAATACTTCGCTTAAAAGAGAGTCATTCTGAATGTCGCTGATATCTGCAACCTCTATAGTTTCATCCATTACGTTCTCACTGCCAGACATCATCGAAATGGCTGCTGCAACTGGATCAAGGCTAAGCACTGGTTCTTCAATGATGGGTTCAGGAGCTTTGAACAGGTCCCCTTCCCCTCCAAGGTCATACTCTGATAGAAAGGATGGTTGTGCCATGTTTCCCTGTAGGATCGACAGATGACAAAGAGGTTATTTCAGTCCACTTAGTTAATTCATTTTAAAATGAATGAAGTACTGAAATGTAACGTTCTTAATTGCAAACATGTTACTAACAAGCATTCTATTTTCTGGTCAGTAGATTTTACTTTTTGTTTCAGGAGTGAAAACATAATTTATTTTTACTATGGGAAAAAAAGTAGAGAAGGCCAAAAGATATTAAGGTCAGATTAATGACTGTGCTTTGTTTTGTTTTGTCTACATGAGTCGACAGCAGTAAGTAGATATTCTTTTCCCTCCAAATTAAGGCAAGGAGAGTGACGAGAAAAAAAAAGTACTCCTAGGGAATTTGAGTAGAGAAAAGTGTAGCCTCTCTCAATGGGGAGGGGAGGGGAAGATTGCAGAAGAGAGGAAGCAGTGCGCGAGGCAATAACAAAGTGTGTGTGTGGAGTGTGGCTGGCAAGTAATTAAAAGTGAGTATATATGGATGCATTTGCAAGTAGTGCTATGCCTCTCTCTTGTTTTTTTGTTTTTTTTTGGGTACATCTACGACTACAAGCATGTAGTATGTTGATGGTGCAGTACATGTCAACTTACAGGTCCCTGTCATGCTCCGAGAGCATATACTGATGGACAGGAGGGGCATCAGAAATCCTGGCCAAAAAAGCTCTATTAAGACTCAACCTAATTAGATCCCCCCTCCCTGCCACTAAACTAAATATCTCAAAGACTGAACCCATGCGCGATGCATGTATGTACCAATATATGTGTGTGCGCGCGCGCGCGCAGAAAAGTAGAAAAAAAAGTATGAAAAAGGAAGAAAGATGTGAATGAAAAAGACAAAAAGGAAAGGAAAAGTTGCAGCCAACATGACCAGTTGCTTGCACCACTCGCGCGGTGGCTTAGCTGCTTATTAGCTGAGTGCGAAAAGGAAAGGTGAGAGTATGAATTTTAATTAATTCATTCATTCATTCGCCACGCCATGTATGTAGTAGAGTAGTGGTGGAAGAAGAAAAGAAATCTCAAAGGTGAGTGAGTGAATTTTTAGTTGCTCTGTTTAGGAAGCTAGCTAAGCGTTTGCGTTTGAAGAGAAATTAGGAAAGCAACAGCAGCAATTAAGGATGATGGATGGATCGATTCGATTAGTCATCTCACTCATGAAATGTCTGAGGTACATACATGTTGTGGTTGCTTTGCTTAAAAGAGGAAAGTGAAGGGGTGAATTATTGAGGGCTTTTGTTGGCATAGATAGTACATGGACCAACAAGCCATCTTAATCATAACGGAGCAAGAAAAAACAGAAAGAAATAGGAACAAGAGAAAGCGACTGTTTTTCTTCATTCATTTCATATCTTCATACGTGTGATGTGATGAGAGAAAGAGAGAGAGAGAGAGAGCAGATGCATGAACCATGGGTAAGAGAAAGAGCGATTAGAGGAAAATCCATTCCATGGATACATGCATGCGGATTAGCTAGTGTGCAAGGAAGGAGGAGGAGGAGGCAGCTCACGAGGATGTCAGGCGGGTCGGCGATGAGCGGCAAGGCGGTGGTGTAGATGCAGGAGGCGGCGTCGGGCGGCGGCTGCTGCTGCTGGGGGTAAGCAGAGAAGCCGAAGGTCTCCGGGTACATGGCGGCGTACATGGAGAATTATTGGAGATGGACAAGAGAAGAGATCGAGGAGAAGAGTATATTGATTATTGAACAAGGCGGAAGCAGGGAGAGGGCTTATGCAACAGATTTATTTATAGCCAAAACGAAAACAACCAGCTCTTCTTGTCTTTCATTTCAGGAGGAGGAGAAAAGAGGAATCGAAGGAGCGCGTGACAATGAACGGAGACAGTGGAGTACAAGACGCCAAAAGCTGGTTGCAGTATATGTGTGGCGTGTGGGCCCCCCCTGTCGCGGTCCATGGGCCCACGCATTCTACAGTGCCACTCACCACTCTACCTCCACACCACAGCTGATGCCAGCCTCCCCTCCCCTCTCTCCTCCTCTTTCCAATTATTATTATTATTATTATTACTACTACTAATACTGCTAGAAAACTTTCTAAATTTATAGTATTAAAATATATCGTATCTTATATATATTTATTGTGCACTTCACAGGTCTACTCCTCCTCCTCTTTCCTCCCTCCCTTCCCTCTCCACCCGGATTGCTTTTCATCCCACATGCAGACTACTCCTCCATTTGCTATTCCAGCAACAAGCCAATTTTCCCTAGCTACCACTCTCTTTCATATACCTCAAATTACTTTACCACTTCTTCTCTTTATGAGAGTTACTCCTATTAACTATTATATTACTCAAACTACACCGCTCCTACGGACCTGGATCCTTCACTTACGTTATTACTCTCTCCTTCCTAAATTGATCATCATCATGTAATAGAATCCAAAATTTCTCAAATTGATCATCATATAACTGTATGGACACGGATTTCATCGGAATACAATTAATGCAGTATGAGAGAATGTGTGCATGCTAAGATGTAATCGGCATGGGGTTTTAATCGATGCATACATTGTGGGAGAATGTGTGCATGGTGTCTTGATTGATGTGATTTAAATTGTCCTCGGTCTTGGTGCATAAACTTATATGATGATCAATTTAGGAAGAAGGGAGTACATACTAACGTGTCCACTAACAGCAAAGTGAACTCATGCCGTTGATTATAAAATCACTTGCCTTAAGGCAGAGTGTCTTGTTCTGTGCTCCTCCTCCTCCTCTTGTGGAGCTTCCCTTGGCCGCTTTGCAGGTGATTCCCTCCCTTCCCTTCCCTGATCTCCACTCAGATTGCTTCCATTCATCCCACATGCAAACTACACTACTCCGTTTGCTACTCTAGCAACAAGCCAATTTTCCCTACCTACCTCTCCCTTTCATCTGCTTCAAACTACTACTTTACCTCTTCTCTTTGAGAATTACTCTTAGAAACTATTGCTCAAGCTGTACCACTCCTACGGATCTAGATCCTTTACCTTATGTTATTACCTGACTTAAGAGCCGCTAATGCGTCGGACCAATAGCAGAGTGAACTCATGCAAGTGACTATAAAGTCACTTATCTTAAGGTAGAGTATCCCGTTATGTGTTTCCACTAAATAATAACAATGGTAAGTTTGATCCATATACTAATGTAATTTTAGCGTATTTAAAAAAATATATATCATTACTACTCGTGAAACCTGTTGCATGTCACTGAAATTTTGTAAAATTTAACCGTGCTATTGTCGCCCATAACTCCATCAAAATTGCACGGTCTTTCCATATTCTATCCTTTCTCTCTCTTTCCTCCGGCGTTTCTTTCCCAGCTCCGACACAAGTAGCAGGCAGCGGTGGTGACGATGTCCACTGCCCCTATGCCACTGAGCCTTTCCTAGGGTTGTGGAGTACTAGATATGTAGGGGAAAGCCGAGGCGGTGATGATTAACGGGCAGCCGAGCTAGGCCTTGGCGGCGACGGCAGAATGAGCGACCTGAGCTAGCTAGGGAAGGGAAAGGAGCAGGGAGGCTTCAAAATATCTTTCCATAGGAAGAAGAAGACCAAGGAGGAAGAAATAGCATGTCCTTAAACAGAGATAGAGGTTTGGACACAAGACTGCAATATATAGTATGATTTGAATTTCACAAGATTTCAGTGACACGTAGAAGATTTTATGAATTATATTGATATTTGTAAAATTGTAATTGCATGTATCAAATTAATCCTAATTAATAATAATCGGCCGTGGACACAAAATCAACCGTGCCTGCGCCTCCACTGCATCGTAGGACAGACAGGCAGTACGTACGTCAGTCTGGGTCTCTGGGAGGTACACATGGGGGTCTTTTACCTTTTCATCGTTGCGCATCTACACCATCAATAATCACATATCCACAGTTGCATGCTTTGCTTCCTCTAATTCGTCCTTGGCACCACACAACATACATATGCATCCTACCCAGTATAGTATATACAATTTTCCCTGCATTAATTATTAACCACACACGAATATGCATGTAGGCAGGCAGTTTGTCGTGTCCTCTTCTAATCTTGTTCCATCCTATGAAAACCAAACAGCTGGCTAGGTGTTTCTCCCCTCCTCTCGGAGCCTACTGGATCGAAGGCCCCGGCATCATATTATGTACTAGTATCATATATATATATGTCCAAGCAGCAGCACTTAATTGTTTGTTAGCAACCAAAGAGGACATTGCATCTGATGCACAATATACTATATTTTTTAAACAAACCGCATAAGATAGTATGGGTTCTCCTATTAATATAAAAAAAATACAAGTCATAACCGGTGAAGACTATGATTTGGCAAAAAAAAAAACAAGACCTACTACACGCCTACAGCAAAACAACCCGCTAAGGAATACACAGGAGCGCAACATCCCAACTGTACTCATCTCCATCCACATCTTTAGATTAGAGAGGGAGAGGGCAAGGAAGGAGATGGATCCATTCTTACTTTGCACAAACCCACTATGGCCATCTTGTAACGGTCAGAAGTGGCACTGCAAGAGGACAAACCGTCTCAAGAAGTGATTGTCAAAAAATAGACCTTCAAAATGACACTGAGGATGCCGCCGTCGCCTCGGTAAATTGAGACTACGTTTCCACCTGAAGGAATCCACTATGGAAGGAGAAAGCCACGACAATGCCCACAACGGGGTGGCGGCGTTTGAGAATGTCACTGTTGCCGGCTTATAAATCAGGCCGGGTTTTTACCCAGAACACATCTTACCACTATGTAAACAACTTTATTACGTGGCCACCACACCGTCGTCTCCCTGCAAATCTGCTAGCGGGAGAACTGAAACAGCCACCTAAGTTTCGTCTATGTTGGATATACTATGTCGTGTCTATAAATTAGGATAAGGTTAGATATGTCCTAGTATAATAAATCTAATTAAGCAGAAGTGACGTAGTACTGTACTTGTTATTTCGTGTCATATATAGTCGATCAATTGTATATATATGTAAGCAAATTAATTAGGCTAGGGTGATGAATTGAAGGGGGTTTGGATGGTAGCCTGCGGTGGAGCCGGCTAAAACATAATCATACTCCATGGATCCATGGGATGGATCGGAGGAAGGACGACGACAAAGACGTACGGCTACCGCCGTGCGCGTGCCGTTATACATACATATATATATATATACATATATATATATATACATATATATATATACTGTATATATATATATATACTGTATATATATATATGTATATATATGATCAGACTGTGGTCTATCTAATACTAATTAGTATGCTTTGTGCGCCGGCTCAATTACCATTAGTTCATCGCAACGTTATTTTGGAACGAAACCAAGCTGGTGAAGAGCTAGCTACACCCAAAACCGCAAATTCATTATTCCCCCCTGAAATCGATTCATCACAATATAGGGACGCGACCCGGGCTCAAGCCGTAATAAACCTAGTTTGAAAGAGACGCGATAACGATATTTTGAAATAAGTAGTACTTCCTCTACCCTAAAATATAAGTATTTTTAGCATAGCGATAAATCAAACATTTTAAACTTTGACTATTAATAGCAAAAATATTAAAAAGATCCATCATGTAAAATTGATCTTACTACATTTATCATTAAATAAAGTATCATAATGTGTAACTCTTTTTTATTTAAAACATCTTACTTTTATATATATTGTTGGTCAAAGTAGCATCTCGTAGACCGTGTCAGAATCTAAAAATGCTTATATCTTGGGACGGAGAAAGTATGTGTAAGCTATTTATTATACTATTCAATTAACCACTATCTGTGCGTTACATAACTATTATTTTTTATATAAACATATTTAAACATTTTTCTTGATTTACTAATTAATTCTGATATTCGTAATTATATAAATATCAAGTTGTATTCGGTTTGAAATATTTTAGGACAGATAAAATATTACTATTTTAGTCCCCCGCCAAGAAAAGCTACTCCAGATGACATTGATGGGCAGTTAGTTCTTAATCAACACCACTATCATCACATCTGCTAGATAGATTGTAGTGATTATTTTTGGAAAGTATATTTATTGCCTCCTCCAAAACTCTGTAGAAAGTATGGCAGCTAGCCCTATCGTTGGCCAAGAGCTAACTATATATATGTCAAAACAATTTCTTAGCTATAAAAATAATATGGGCATAATACTTTTACAGATATGTTGTTAGCGACTTAAAAACCAACATAGAAAAAAACTACATTGAAATGCCCTTAAATTAACTCCAAAATTTGTTTTGGTAGCAATAGATTCTTTTTAGCCTAAAAGATAAGGTTCTGGATTTCAACCTCAAACCGTCCCTCAGCTCCCCCCAATCCAAAAATCTATCCATGACACATATATATCAGTTGTTTTGACACGTGACTTGGTTGTTTATTGGGCTAGTGACCATACCAATTCCATTATCGCTGAAGCCATAGAGTCGGTACCATAGGATGAATGTGCGCACGTTGTGAGCGCCTGCTGTTTCTAAAAAAACTAACTAGGTTGGTGCTCATGGTCATGTTCCTAAGGCTTGCAAATAAATCATTGATGACCACAATTTCGATTAAAGGTAGTTATGCCATCCCCTCCGGCCGCAATATCAATTAAGGATAGCTAGTAATGTTCATGCTTGGCTCCCTCCTTCTCCAGAAGTTACTAAGTTACTAACATGCGGGTCTATTTTGCTAGCTATGGTCTTATATGTTAATGACTCTAAAGTTAGGGGATCTCGTAGAGTACATATGTTACTGTAGATGCCAATAAAACTCGCATTTTGAAATCATCATCATGCCTTAGAAACTATAGCAAGTATTGTTATTTTTTTCATATCTCTACTACATTAAAAGGAGAGTCGTTATC